GGCTGAAGCTAGGGACTGATCTCGAGCTTTGACTTGCAAGGCTGGAGGGAGTGATGGTGTGATAGCGAGATTATAAACCTGCCAGGATGATACCAATAAATTATTCTGCCCGAAGAGGGATGCAAGTAACCCAAAACCTGTCCTTTTTTTTCCCTACCTACAGTGGATCTAATAAAAGAAATTACCACTCTCCAAAACATAAAATTTAAGATGTTTTTTTTGAATTTCTTTTCTTCTCCAGGACCGCTACATGATCCTTGGCCAAAATGGTTTCTTTGTTAATGCGTCGGATTCATTGGCTATAATTGCTGCCAATCTGTCTTGCATTCCATACTTTTGTCAAATGGGTGTCCGAGGATTTGGCAGGAGCATGCCTACCAGCACAGCCCTGGACAAGTAAGATGAAACATTTATTTATATCACCTTGGTCATTACATTAGTAATCTCTCTGTTTTGTACTACATAGCAATTCCAAAATTGTGAAATCTTTTGATAAGAGCTTCTAATTTTCACAATCTTTATGTGCTTTATTGTTTTAGCTAGTTTTGATGATATTTTGATCTTACCTAGACTAATTTTATCAACATTTACTTGGATGAAAATAGTTTAATTTAACCTGGAAAAGAAATAAATAGGTTGAACCTTTTTGAGAGTACAAACACTTGACTGGTAGTTCCTTTTCCAAATAACTTTACTCTTTTTCTTGGTAAATAATGGTTTGCAGCCTAATCTAGCAGCCTGCTTATGAAAATCATGGATGTTTAAAACAGATAAAGTAGCAATTCAGTACTAAACAAGAACTTAACCCCCCCCCACCACCCAGTTATTTTAAGCCGTTGAAATATATCATCTATTATGATACAAAATGTTCCAGAAAGGACTGCAGGCAGTCATGAAATCCATTTCCAGTTTCAAGGCAGGTTAAAAGTATACCTAAAGCTACTTCTGACAAGCCCAATCTGCTCTTAAAAGATTTGCTGGATGTGCATCCTGTGTTAGCAGCTGAATTTTGAACAAGTCTCATCCAGACCTAAATTTTCTGTAAATATTGGCATAAGAGGATTAAGCTAAATATTATTGCCTTATATGTTCTGTGTGGAAAGAGCATTCACTGAGTCAGTTGTGTCTCAGTGTTGATCTGATTGCATAGCTTTACTAACACAAGAATGATCTGCTGCCTCCATTAAATGTGTCTAATCAGGAAACAGTAATTTTAAAGTGAAATGTAGCTTGTATGCTTTGAAAAGCAAGAATATTAGGGTGCTTCCCTATTCAGAAAATTTTTGAAAGTTACGAAATTCAGAGCTAGAAGCTTCCTCTAATGCTTGACAGAGTCTTCAGGGAAATATTCCTTACTTGTAGGTAGATGGTCTAGTTTAAGGAAATACTGTTAGGTCAGGGTTTGCTGTATTTTGTTTATTCCATTTAGAGATCCAAAAATCTCATTGTTTAAGTGAAAGCTGCCATTGTATTGAAATACTATATAAAATAAATAGAGGTTCATTTTGGATGTAAAACCCAGGATATCTGCATTCCTGTAAGACTTGAAGAAACAGTGACATTTAAATATGTTTGTCTGTCTTCTTTCCTTGAAGTTTGGTAGTTCTGTCAGAAAGTATGACTATACTGAAGTCCCCTTCAATAACACTGTGACTATTTGAATTATGTTCCTGACAATGTTTACTTGACCTTCTGGAGCACAGATCGCCTCATGGTGATTACTGCCTTATTTAGTTCTGTGAGGCTAAGCCTGATTATTAAATAAAACTGAGGAATTGATAATGATGGAAGCATGTAAATATTTTCCCAGCCATTCTTACAAATATTTATTATTATGAAGTTTGCAGTCTGTATCCAGGACACTTGAATTTCTTTTTTTCTTTCATTTTGTGGTTGTCTTTGTTTTCCTGAAGATTTAAAAGTTACATGTTTTCAAAGTTGGTTGCTTTTGTTTTGTGACTCATTTACACACATGACAATCCTAAATACCTGATTTTTAATTTTCTGTAAAAATGCCATAATGTTGTCCAGAGATTCTCATGCTTTGGTGGCCAAAATTGTATAACCTGCTGCACTGATGAGTGCCATATAAACTGC